TTACTCCCTGCTGCCAGTCATCCATGGTCCAGGGTTCCCTCTCCACAGGCTTCCAGTCTTCTAGCTAGTTCATGTATCTATATATTTTTTATTGGTTATTTGATCTTTGGTATCTTATTATTCTTTGCATTTTTCTTTTCAATTTATAGTAGATGCACGTCTGTTTTGCATGGCATATTTTGAACGTGTATGTGTGTGTGTGTGTGTGTGTTGGTTTGGTTTTGGGCCACATTCAGTCATCCAGTGATGCTCAATGCTTACTCCTGGCTCGGCTCAGGGATCAATCCTGGTGGGTTCTGGGGACCATATAGGGTAATGGAAATAGAATCTAAGTTGACCATATCCAAGGCCAGCTCCTTAACTGCTGTACTACTCAGGTTCATGCATAGTGTTTTGTACATGAATAGACAGCAGAAAAAGAGAAAGGTAAAATTGACCAATATATAATGAACTCATCATTTTCTCATACATTATAGAATTTGTAAGAAATAGGAAGTTTGGACATCGATTCTAAAGAAAATAAAATCATCTAACTTATTCTCTTTGCTAAAACATAATGCTTTAAACATATTCATTAAAATTATTTAATAAATCCAATTAATGCAAATGTAAATCTCTGCATTTATCTTCATAATAACCCATTGTATCTTATAGGTAACATGCTAGCATGAGTAAATGGAAATAAATGTGGAAATTTCTCAAAGTTCATTATCTAATAATGTTTAATGTGCTTATGATACACTAAGGACTCTTTAAACACTTCTCCTTGGTTTCTGGATCCAGCAGTGCCCAAGGCCACTCCCAGCTCTATGCATGAATATTGCTTTCAGTGCAGCCAGGGTCTCTGGGGGGAATCCAACCTCCCACACGCATGTGAGCACTCAGCCTGCTGAACTATGCCTTTGACCTTGGACTAAACTCTGCAAGGCTCTTATAACCTCACCGCATTACAATGAGCCACGGTGCTCTTGTTATCCTTGGTCAGTAAGCCACACGTTCAGCAGTAACATATGCTTTTTGTTTATATCTATTTTATAGATAATGTAGTCATAGTCTTACCCTTCAAACCCTTTCCTCGTTAACATCCCAGAACCACATCAGCTAATTTGGTAGCCACATGTCACTTGTGGCTCAGAGGCATTCATGAAATGTCTGGTATAAAATGAAGTGTGTAATGAGTGCAAAAATACACTAGATTTGGGGTCAGATTGCTGGTAGAGCTGGTAAGACACATGCTTTGCATTCTACCAACCCTGGTTCAATCCCCGGCATCCCACATGGTCCCCTGAGTCCCTCCAGGAGTGATTCCTGAGTGCAGAGCCAGAGTAATCCCTGAGCACCACAGGGTGTGGTACAGAAAAACGAAAAGAAAGAAATGCACTCGATTTTACTTATTCGTTTGTTTTTTAAAGGTCACACCTAGCAATGCTCAGGAGTTACTTCTGGCAGTGCTTGGGGGATCATGTGGGATGCCAGGGATCAAATCTGGGTCGACTCTGTGCAAGGCAAGCACCCTATCTGCTGTAGTATCTCTCCATCCCCCAAGAATATTTTTAAAGAATTTTTGGGCCACACCTGGAAGTGCTCAGGATTTAATCATGGCTCTGTGCTCAGAAACCAGCAGGGTTGGGAAACAATACAGGACGCCAGGCATCCAAGCAGGATTGGCTGTGTGCAAAGCAAGGCTTGCTTGCCCCTGAACTATTGCTCAGGACCCTAAAAAAATACACTACATTTTAAATACAATTTAAAAATATGCTTGTAAAATGAGTTTAATATTTGAGACTGATTATTTGTTAACACAGTGTTTGGTATATTACAGGTTTGCTAGAACATTTTTCTTTTTGTTGGTTTTTGGATCACAGCTGGCAGTGCTTAGGGATTATGCCTGACTGTGCTCAAAGATCACTGCCATCCTTGGGGGGTGCTGGGAACAAAACCCAGGCCTGCCACGTGCCCTCCTGCTGTACTATCTCTCCAGCACGAAGAAAGCACTATCAGCAAGAGAGAATAATTACTGACTTAGTAATAATCATTGATATCACCTGCTTCTTTCCCTGTTTATTAATGTGACTAACTAGAAGCTTTTAATTCATCTATGTTGGTTGCTAATTTTTTTTAAAAAATTGAATCATTGTGAAATTTAGTTACAAAGTTGTCATTGAGTTTCAGTCATAAAACGTTCCAGCATTCATCCCTTCACCAGTGTACACTTCCTGCCACCAATGTCCCCAGTTTTCCTCTTACCCTCCCAAGTCCCCGCCTGCCTCTATGGTAGAGACTTATTTTTTCTTTTTCCCTTTTAGGCACTTTGGTTTACAATACTGTTACTAAAAGGGTATCCCAATTACTGCCGGTGTAATCCCAAAAATCAAGAACCAAACCTACAAATACTCAACTTCATTTCTGTAATGAGATTCCACATGACTGTTATGGGGAAGGTCTTTGGACTAAGACAAATCCCATTTTTGTGGAGTTTTTACTAGAATTGAGATAGGCCCTCATTCCACCAGCTGCCTCAGTTCAGTGAAAGCTCGGGGGGTGGTAGGGAAGGTGGATTTTCCTTCTGCACCAGCCTGATGGCAAACCTTGGTTCCCACTTTAACCAGTTTATTAAACGCATTGGTTCAGATTCTCCTGACTAACTCTTTTGACACTTCTGTGTCTGCTCTCCTGGCAGTCAGTGCTGTACAGGGCAACTCTGAACTGGCGCCACTCATGTGAGGATGCTGGTGAAAACAGATCTTTTCCAAACTAGAGCTGGTTTTCTGATACCACTGTCTCCCTTCCTTCTCTCTTCATCATTTACTTATGATTCATCAATGCTATCTGAACTTCCCTATAGCTCCAACCTGATTACGGTTTAGAAAACGACACGTACCACACTGAAAAACACTTATTTTTAGAATTTGCCAATCCAATACCATCAAGTGATAAAAAGACTTGATCCAGATACAGTACCATTTTTTACAGGCATTTGTGTGTGTGTGTCTTTGTGTGTGTGTGTGAGAGAGAGAGAGAGAGAGAGAGAGAGAGAGAGAGAGATCAAGTCATATTGCTACTAATCAGGGTATGCTCCAAAAGTAGATGGAAGATGCAGATTAAACTTCATCAGAGGGGCCGGAGTGATAGGACAGCAGGCAGCTTGCCTGGCATGCAGCTGAGCCAGGTTCGATCCTCAGCATCCCATTTGATCCCCAAAGCACTGCCAGGAGTGAGTAATTCCTGAGTGCAGGGGCCAGAAGTAAGCCCTGAGCATTGCCAGGTGTGACCCAAAAGCCAATAAATAAATAAACTGTCATCAGAGGTGAAGCCATACTTATGAATGAAAGCATTTCTAGTGGGGTTTCCTGCTGTTTGTGTTTTCTTGTAGATCTAAAATTATAATGTCCATATGATGCCGAGACACTTCAACAGTTTCTGTTTCTATTCTGGGTCCCCATGGAAGGAGTATTTGGCTGTGTATGCAACATTAAAATTTAAAAAAGAAAGAAAAGAAAAGAAAGAATAGAAAGCCTTTTCCTTGGCTGACATTCAACTATTAAAAATATTTTTAGATTTGGAAACACATTCTCCTGTCCCTCTGCCCAGCACTTATATTTTTACTCTCCTCTTATTCCTTCCAAACTTCACCAAAATCTGTTTCCTGACAATTTGAGAAGTGAGAAATGTCTGCGTGGGGGGAAAAAAGTGAAGACATATGTTGTAATTCTTAGCAGGGAAAACATTGCTCAATGGCAAAATCAAGGCTGTCTTGTGATGTTTTCATCTGCTCACACTAACATTTGCTATTTTGATCCTGTTCTCATCTCACTGAGGGCTGCTCCGGCTAAGGGCCACTCAGACACTATGGCCCAGAGCGAGAGCATGCATTCTGCGTGCAGGGGCGCCCCAGTCACAGGGTTGATCTCTGGGACCTGGATCATGTCACAGAGCTGGGCAGTAGCTCCCGGCACTGCTGGTTGTGGCCAATCACCATCCCCCCAAATTAAAACACCCCAAGACAAAACAAAACAAACCCAGATACTGTGACCTGCTTCAAATCTGCAGTGTTCTGCTTTCCAAGGATGAGGAGACCGTGATGACCTTCATCTGGAGAGTGGGGAGGACATCCACACGGACTGAATTGTTACTTTAAACATGTATTGTAAATATAAAAAAGCAGGCAATCCATTTTAGTCGTCATTCTGATTTCTAATAGTCCTTCCTACTGTTGGGTTAGAAAGTTTGGTTAAGGCAGGACAAATAGTACAGAGGGGTAGGGTGCTTGCCATGCACTCACACCAGCATGGGTTCAAATCTTGGCACTCCATATGGTTCCCTGAACCCAGGAGTGATGCCTGAGCACAGAGCCAGGAGTAAGCCCTGAGTACCACTGGGTGTGGCCCCAAATGGAAGCAAGTAAATAAACAAAAACACCATCCACCAGGGAATTTCTGACTTTCGTACTGAAAATGGCTGATTTTCATACTGACCAGAATTAAAAAGTAAAACAAACCAAAACAAAACAATCGCTCCCCCCATCCCCAAATCCAGAAAATTTGGTCTATGAACAAAAATTTAGCAAGCAGATACTATCTCCTAGGCATAGTCCCAAGGTCCAGGAATATGGCAGTAAAGAGAGCAGTCTCTATCCTGTTGATGTTGAAACAGGAGGAAATGCTAGCCAGGGCACTTCAGAAATTGTGTAACACTGTGGTAGGGTAGTCTTTAGGGCCCGGATTAACATTTGATTAACTGTGACTTTTCATTAACTCCAACTAAGTCAAGTACTGTCTTTGGATAATACTGGGAATTCTTCCAGGCTGAAACACTATCGTTTCCTTCTGCTCCTTGATTTTCCCCTCTTACCAGTACATAAGCTGCTGGGAAAAAAGTGTAAACATTTTCATTTACTCTCCATGGGTGATCTAACCACAGACACTGTGGATTTCAGATTTACATGACATACGGAGTGCATAATTATATTCTGCTTCTAAAAGAAAAAAAGACAAGTGGAAAATATTTCAAAAATCATTTCACACATGATTATGATACAGTATTACAATGTATTATGTGCAAAATTCCATGAAAAAATCATTTACAAAAGGAAGTACAACACAGTTTCTGCTGAGGGTTCTAAAAGTACAGCAAAAGCTAAAAAGGTACAAGGTAAAAGCCAAGTAGATTTGATGACTCTGCATCTTTACACAGTACAAAAACATGTTCTTGTAACTGGTGTTACATTGATACAAGACCCTCATACTCTGTGCACCCCAAAATAGATTTTACAAAACATAAATTTAACTCCACTATATAGACAATCTTATAACACGAATAGGCTTTTTGGTGTATCTGCAAACTCTTTTCCAAACAGCATCTTCATTAACGAAAGTCACATTACACATTACTTGGTTCTGTTCAAAATAATTTGATATTATTAGTTTTGATTTATGTAGGAAAATGGAAAAAGGGGGGTTATCTTAATTTTTTTCTCACGAAATTTTAAAGATTATTTTCAACAGCAAATTACATACGGTACAGATCTTGCCAAACCTCATGGCATATTTACAGTATTTTCAGTATTGGTGGTTCCATCCATCCATCTCCTTTATCCCATGCCTTTCAAGGAGCCTGAACCAGCAGTTAATGCTCCTTAGTTCTTGATTTGAATCTATATTACTCTCTTGACCTCTCTCTACATTCATTTTTCTCCCAATTCTCAGCATCACTTGGTTAAAACATGAAACAGCACAAAACCACTGAGTATTGAACAAGGCAACAGCACATTAGGGTTCTAAAGACATTCTGGAGTCAGTGTCAGTTACATATTGCCTTAGAGATTCAGCAGTCTCTTCCCACCAAATAGTCAAAACATCCAGTTACAGAAAAGAGACTTTTAAAATGCAATACTCTCAAACCCAGCAAGAGATTCTGTTTTGTATATTAAAGGTTAAAATCACATGCATAATTATAGAATATTTTAAAGTTACAAAAATATCTTAAAAACCAACAGTTTACCTGCAACTGCTATAAACATTTCTATGAAATATATAAAAACACAAAGGCTCTTTTTTAAAAAAGAAAAAAGGAGAAAGAAAAACAAAAAGAAAGCAAGAAAAGGATGGAGCCATCCACAGATTTGAGAAGTACCTGACGCACTGCATTGGGCAGCCTTGTCAAACACCTGCTGTTGAACTCAAGCGGAGAGCTTGTACCTTAATTGTTTATTCCGCACACACACACACACACACACACACACTCACACACACACACATGAGCCAGTCTAGGAACTAGCTGGAGATAGGAAACAGACAATCAGGGATACCTGAACTACTAAACGCAATTTACCATCCCTGAAGGAGAATCCATCTGTTGCACAAACCTCATGTCACCTTGCCTGGGCAATGTGTCTGACGATGTGCCCTTGGCCAATCTCACCTGTGGATGGCTTAGTCACTGAACTTGGAGTCTCCAAAGAGGAGAGACCTTTTCAAGCACAAGTCCGTGGGAGTTTAAAGGCAAGGTTCCTAACCTCCCTGCTTTGGATGCACCGCCGAGAAGTCCCATCTCTCTCTAGGAGGTGGTGAGATCTTCTTCCCCATTCTGGAAGATGACGCCATAAGGGTCACTCTTGATGCGCTTGTAGACGAAATGGAAGATGTGGGGTTGTGGCCGGCTGTGGAGCTCGGCCTTGATTTTCTGAGGGTACGTGTCCTCTGCCAATTGCTGCCAGGTTTCATCAACAAAGAGGAATAGACTATACTCCTGAGGGTCCTCCACCTTAAACTTCTCAGCACAGAGCTGACACACATCCTCAGTGGTGACGTAGGGCCTCACCAGGAGAGTCTTGCCTGTGCAGCCACTGCTGACCTCTTGGAATGCAACTCGGAGGTAATTCTGTGAACAGAAAAAAGAGAAAGATGTTGGGGACAAAGTCAGAAGGGGTGGGGGGATGGAGCAAGGGACACGCACACAGGATACCAGCAACACAAGTCTTTTGTGACTCTGTCATCTTGTGATTTTTCCTGGCACTTGAGGATGTCCAATATGGGGGCCAGTGGCCTTGACATGCAAGGGAAGGGGCTAGTACTGGACAGCTGGGAGAACAGCTGCAAGGACTGAGTTGCTTTTTATTTTTTCCTTAAATTTTTATTAGTGAAACACCATGAGGTACAGTTGTAGACTTACAAATTTTTGTGCTTGGGTTTCAGTTATACAATGATCAAATACCCATGCCTCCACCAGTGCCCATTCTCCACCACCACCAATCCCAGTATCCCTCCCACCCCCATCCCCACATCCCACCCTACCTCTGTGGCAGGGCATTCCCTTTTGTTATCTATCTCCTTTTGAGTGCTGTGGTTTGCAAAAGAGATATTGAGTGGCAATCACGTTCGGTCTATAGTCTACTCTCATCACTCATTTAATCCTCCTGGTACTTATCTCGGCTATTCTTGGGTGTTAGTCTCCTATTTTGTTACTTTATGTTCCCCAGATGAATGCAATCTTTCTATGTCCGTCCCTCTCTTTCTGACTCATTTCGCTTAGCATTATTCTTTCCATGTAGTACCACTTGTATATGAATTTCATGACTTCATCTTTTCTAACAGCTACATAGTACTCCATTGTGTAGATGTACCAAAATTTCTTTAACCAGTCATCTGTTCTCGGGCACTCAGGTTTTTTCTAGATTCTAGCTATTGTCAACAGTGCTGCAATGAACAAACAAGTGCAGATGTCATTTCGACTATACTTTTTTGCCTCTCTGGGATATATTCCCAGGAGTGGTATTGCTGGGTCAAATGGGAGCTCAATTTCTAATTTTTTGAGGATTGTCCATACAGTTTTCCAAAAGGGCTGAACCAGTCGGCATTCCCACCAGCAGTGAAGGGGAGTCCCTTTCTTGCCACATCCGCACCAACACCGGTTGTTTTTGGTCTTTTGGATGTGGGCCTGGACTGAGCTGCTTTATTTTAACTTACTTATAACCATTATTTTAATTGTCTTATTTTTAAATCTTAGGCACCACAATTTATAATCCTGTTAATGAGAGGGTTTCACACATGCTGTTCCAACACCACATCCTTCACCTGAGTACCTGATTCTCTCCACCACTGTCTTGGTATCTTCTAGGCCCCCAAGCCCCATCTCTGCCCTCAGCATCTCCACCCACCATGGTGAGGTCAGTTCTGTCCATTCTCAGGTTCTGTTGCCTTTTAGTTGCTGTATTTTAATTATCTACAAATACAAAAAGAAGGAAGTACCTTCTGCCCAGTTGTGATCTTTCAGTGTCACTAACAGGCCTTTTAAGAAATCCTTGGGTTGGGCTGGAGTGATAGTATAGCAGGTAACATATTTGCCTGGCATGCAGCAGACTCAGATTTAATCCCTGGCACCACATCTGGTCTGAGGTTCCCTGAGCTCTACCAGGAGTGATCCCTGAGCATAGAATCAAGAGTAAGCTCTAAGTACTGCAGGGCATGGCCCAACCCCAAAGGAATAAGAAACCACTGGGTAAAGGATGGAGACATAGTCCAGGGTAAAGTGTTTGCCTTGCATGATTTCACCCCCAGAAACACATAATGAAGTGTGGCTCCAAAGAAAAAAAAAAACACAGCCTACCGGAGTTCAATCCCCAACATCGCTTAGCTAGTGCAGCTAGTGTTGTCCCTAAATAAACAAGCAAACAAAATCAAAAGAGGTCTAGAGAGTTAGTGCAGTAGCAGGTAGGGCGTTTGCCATGCATACAGTTGACCTGGGTTCAATGCCTAGCATCCCACATGGTCCCTTGAACACTGCCAGGAGTAATTCCTACATGTGGTGAGCCAGGAATAAACCCAAAGCACTGCCGGGTGAGGTCTCGAAACCAAAAACCAAAACAAAATAAAACAAAAGGAATCCCTGGGTAAGAGTGTGAACCAATCCAATGTTGGGTTTATTCCTAATTTGGAAAAGAAACCAATTAGCAGAAGAATTGGAATCAGGAAATCTGCAGGAAGAGATACCAAAAATATGTAGCCGTTACAGCAGGCCCTGTGCCAACCGTGGAATACAAAGGCAGTCACATACATTACATCGGACCACAAAGACAGGGCCCATGCTGGACTATTTTCCATCACCCCAAAGGAAATTTCATGTGACTCTTCAATTATACAAGAGCAATATGGAATAAGTTGGCAGGAGGAAAATGTGGATTCTGTCAAAAGTCTTCGGAGCTGGAGCTGATCAAGAGCAACGTGGTGAGACAGGGAAGTGAAAGGCAATGCTTGCAGGCCTGGTAGGTGAATAATGCTGTTTAACGCCAGTCATGAAATAAAAGAAACCTGTAATCTATCACACACAAAGCCCAGAAAAGCTGTGAGGAATCCTAAACTCTACACCAGGTTGTCTGAGATTTTCTGACCCTACATAACTTCTCCAGTTGCCACCTTTTTAGGAGTGAGGTTATGAGATAGGGTAGAAAACACATTTTTCAGAAGGAAAACAAATACATCTTCCACTTCTAAAATTAGTTACCCTACTCAGGAATACAGAGAAACGGTCTCTGCCAAGGAGAAGGTACTCAAGAGTGTGATGAGGGCTTCTGTGTATGACTCTGTGTGTGTGGGTGTGTGACACACAGGGAGAGAGAGAGAGAGAGAGAGAGAGAGAGAGAGAGAGAGAGAGAGAGAGAGAGAGAGAGACAGACCAGAGGAACTTGTGCAAAGCTCTCTGGAGCCTTTGCCTCTCCTCTCCTTGAGAAATACTATACCCTGGCTCCCCGAAAGGCTCTTGTACAGTTCCAGAGTAGGACCCGCATAGGACTAAGCTCAGCTGCCCAGTCCAAATTAATTTTTCTACAGGGGAGGGTTGTGCTCAGGGCTTACTTCTGACTCTACTTCTGGGTCCCTCCTGGCAGTGACTGAGGGACCATGTGCAGTGCTCAGGATCAAACCAGGGTTGGCTGCCTGTCTCTTACACCCGGCATGGTCTCTCCAGCCCCATCGGATGCTCAGCTATCACCACTGGCCATAACCAGCTGCCAGAGCTAATGCTACTTGTGAGATTCTGGGGCCTTCTGTTCCTTGGCAAAGGAGAGTTTTAGACATTGCACCTACCCCTTTCTCTCTTCCCAGAGAGACCAGCCACCCGCAGAGTTAACCTGTCTGTTTCCATCCGGCTGGATCTGAGGAAATCAAATCCACACCGCCTGTGCTAACAGTTTCCTCCTGCTTCAACTTCTGCCTGCTAGGGTGCCTGGCTTCAATCTGAATGGCTGTGGGAGAAATCCTGCCTTCACTTAATTTTATTTCTCAATGGCAGCAAAACTTGGGCTGAACCCATTGACTGTTTTTTCCAATTCAAAGAAAACAGAGAAGTGAAACAACAAGGTCAGAGGGTGTTGAAATACCCTTTTCTGATAGATAATTCTAACAGGACGGCACCTGAGCAGAGCAGGCTGGAGGACCAGGGAACAGCCACTGCCAGGGAGGCAGAGCAAAGCCAAGTGCAGGCATGGAGAGCAAGAGGCCGAAAACCCAAAAACCAGGACGCAGTGCAGAGATGCCCCCTGACCCCGTGCCAGGCTGCCTTAACCAGGGCAACTTGGGGGCGGGGGTGAGCTTCCCTCCCTGCTCCAACAGAGCCCCAGCAGCTGCAAAACCTCCAGAACTCAGTTGCCACCATGCTCACAGCCTCTCTCCACAGGCTCAGATGAGCCTCCCCATGTATCATTGTACTCTAAATTTTAGTATTCCTGGAGTGACATCTCATATTCTACACCACTGATGTACCAAGAATGCACACCACATCTGATGGGGTTTAAAGTAGAAAGCAATAAATCTCATGGGGAGTGGCTGGAGTGACAGTACAGCGGGTAGGGTGTTTGCCTTGCACACGGTCAACCCAGGTTCCATTCCCAGAATCCCATATGGTCCCCCGAGCACTGCCAGGAGTAATACCTGAGTGCATGAACCAGGAGTAACCCCTGTGCATTCCCGGGAATGACCCAAAAAGCAGAAAAAAAAACCCAAATCTCATGGGGAAAAATTATATATATATATATATATATATATATATATATATATATATACACCCGTGATGTATTCGATATGCCAAACACAGTAACAAGTCTCATGATGGAGATGTTACTGGGCCCGCTCGAGCAAATTGATGAACAATGGGAGGACCGTGACCGTGAATATATATAAATATATAAGCACACAAGGCTCAACCTTTAACAAACATGTTAGTTATCTCATTAAGCCCTTGCTTAATGGCTCCAGGATGAAATGCAACACTCTCCACAAACATTCCTCTAAGGAAAATTTATTGGACCATTTTTAGTGGGTTATTCATAACAAGCAATACAAAATTAATTGTTTTGGTTCTGTTTTGGGAGGCGCAGTTTGGGATTTGGGGTGGAAACATTCAAAATATGGTGGTGGGAAGGTGCATTGTGGTGGGATTGGTGTTCAGCTATTAAATGTAATGAATTATTGTGAACAACTTTGTGAAAATAAAAGAAAATTTTTTACAAATCCAACAAAAGGGGCTGGAGAAATAGCACAGCGGGTAGGGCATTTGCCTTGCACATGGCTGACCCGGGTTCAATTCCCAGCATCCCATATGGTTCCCCCAAGCACTGCCAGGAGTGATTCCTGGTGCAGAGCCAGGAATAACACCGAGAATCGCTGTATGTGACCCAAAAAAGAAAAACAAAAACAAAAACAAAAACCAGGGCTGGAGAGATGGAACAGTGGGTAACGTGCTTGCCTTGCATGTGGCTGACCTGGGTGCAACTCTCAGTCCCCTATGTGGTCCCCCGAGCCCTGCCAAGAGTGATCCCCGAGTGCAGACCCAGGAAGTTGAACACCAGGGGGTGTAGTCTTTAAGCCAAACCTCCGCTTCCCACCAAACATACAAAATCAAAACCCCCAAGGCAAGGCGACGGCAGCCTCCCTCCCCATCAGCACACCTGAAAATCGTCCACGGAGGGGACAGTCCTGTTGGTCGTTCTCCGTTTGTGCCACTGCCTCAGGGTGTCTCTGGCCTCAGAGCTGAGCAGTCTGGCTGCTTGTTCTTCTTGGAAATTCTTAATCAGGGAGAGTGCTCCATAGGCGCTGGTCAAGTAATAGCCTCCTAGAAAGACACAAGGAGTGAGAAGCTCTTCAAGTCTTTCCTCTTCTGCTGACAGCAGGGAACAGGAGGCTGAAGCTGGGCTTTAGATTCTCCCACATCCTCTCCTGTGGAACCACAGACACCTCTCTCATCTATCAGGCATGCATTTGTTCCCAGGACTGTACTAAACCGTCCCTATCTGAGTCTGGGTCAGGGAGCCTGAGGGGACTTCCATTCTAATGGGCAAGACAGAAGAAAACCTCTCAGTTATTGCAGTGCAGTGGGAGACTGCTCCACAGAGAAGGCCTGGGCACACAGGCTGACGGAGGTGGGAGGTGCCTGCAGGGTTCCCTACGCAGGGGCAGAATCAGTTGCCTTCAGAGAGGGCCTGCCTGTTTTCAGAGTTTCTGAGGCTGATGACCATCAGCAGGATCTCCTGGCAATGCTGGCAGAGAAGCCAATTTTCAGGAATGATCTTTGCTCAGTTGGAAGGAAACTGCATCTTGCAAGAACTGAAGTCTATCCAAGGACTATCTATTTCTGTTCAGGAAAAGTGGGGTGCCTTGAAATAACTTCTTCCTCCCAATTCCCTTCCTCTGGCAATACTGTCAATGACAGTATTAACTGACAGTATTAACTGTCAACAGTATTAACATTGACATTAACTGTAAATGACAGTGACAAACAGGGAAAAACAATTGGCTGGTGGTGTTCCTTTCTGAGAGTTGGGAGCACACACAGCAATGCTTTCTTGTTTTAGGGTTGTAGTAACAAACTTACAGCAGCACGAGACATGTATATGTCAAGATATGTTCCTAATTTTGTCCTAAACTCTAATAAGATGGCTTGGGAGGAATCTGAGAGCTCTGGTACCACTAGAGGGAGATATAAAATGTTGATTTTAAATGGCCTAGTTGAGCACAGCACCTTTTCTTTTTATTCCTTTTATTTAATTTGGTTTTGGTGCCACAGCTGGTGGTACTCAGGGCTTACTTCTGGCTCTGCACTTAGGAATCATCTTGATAGGCTCACGGGTCTGGGTGCTGGGATTGAGGGTGCTGGGATTGAACCCAATCAGATGTGGGTAAAACACATTTTAAATTCAAATTCTTTGATTTTTGTTTTTGGGCCCCACCCAGCCGTTCCCAGGGTTTACTCCTGACTCTGTGCTCAGGGAACCAAATGGGATGCTGGGGACTGAATCTGCGTTGGCCGTGTTCTAGGCAAGCACACTACCTGCTGTACTCTCTCTCTCTGGCCCCGAAATTCTCAAATCCAAATTGAATCTGTGCTATGAATCCAACTCAGGTACTGAGCAAAGAGTGGGTTTGTAAGCAACAGATCTGAGTTCCTATATGCAGATCACTGTGAGCAACAGAATCTAAGCCCCTGAATCAGGGACCAGAATTTAGTTAGTATTCAGTTTGGTCTAAAAGCTATCATCTCTATGGCCAAAGTAGTCAGCTGCTAAAGCAATTCCCAGAAGAATTCCCTCTGTTCAGGTAGTGATTAACATTCAAGTTGATGGGTGGGCTATCGTCTATGCAGTCTCTCAGTCTCTCTTGGAGCTCATTTGGACCTGGAACTATCCAGGGGTGCCATGGTAGCCTCAGGTATTATTGGGGGATGATTTCTAGTTTTTGCTTAAAGAAAGTAGGTTTCCAGGTGGACACTGAATATTTTTTTTCCCTGAAAAAAAAGGTCAGATAAATTCAGAGACTTTTTTTTTCTTTTTGGGTCATACCTGGTGATGCACAGGGGTTACTCCTGGCTCTGCACTCAATTATTCCTGGCGGTGCTCAGGGGACCATATGGGATGCTGGGAATTGAACCCGGGTTGGCTGCGTGCAAGGCAAACGCCCTACCCGCTGTGCTGCTCCCGCCCCTAAATTCAGGGACTTCTGATCATAAGCAGAATTCCTTGAGAATTACTTTGGATATGTAACCTGGGATGGGGGGGAGGGATGTTGTATTCAGGGGACTAACAAAAGGGGGGGCAGGTAGTTGCATCATCTAAGCCCACATCTGCACATAAATAGGTAACTCAAGGCTTCCAAGTTATCCAGGAGTTCATTTTCTTTCTTGGATTTGCTTCACATCAACATGTCTTGGCAGAAACTTCCTCTCCTTATATAGAATATAGGTCGGTATTTTATCATGCAAAGAATTTGGATGTTTGTTACTATGGTGATCGTCTAGAACAGCAGAAATAACCAAGACCCCTTCTGTGAGCTTGTCTTTTTAAGGGAAAAAAATGGGGCCTGTGCATTGTGAAACCTGTTTATCTTCATACTAATAGAGGAGTCTATACAGACAGTGGTCATGAATTGTGGCCAGAATCATTTTCTTTTCTCCAGTAAATTTAGTTAGGGTTTGTATACAAAGATTCATGACAGGATTTCCCAAGGAAATCATATCTCCAAAATGTTCCCTGGAAGAAACTTGAATGTCCTGACAACTGCCCCCCCCCCCCCGCCCGTATCTTAACCCTAGATATGTATCTTAGTCTCCTCAGAACTCAATACTGGGTTTTCTTCTCAGGGGGGCCTGCCCTCCTCTGCCCCTCTGAGGTGTCGTGCTGGCTCAGGGTTCCTGATGAGCATCTTTTCATTTTGTCTCTCCTCCCCCCCTCCCCAGACAGATATGAATAAGCCTCTTTCATCCCTTTACCCTTTAAACCCGTTTATCTCCCCTGATCAGTATTCAGAGCTCTTGCACCAAGCTCTCCCGGTAAGCTGCTGTGGTCAGCTTGGCGCTCTCCTGGCTGCTCTGCTGTTTGGCTGGAGGGGAAAGATGCCTGTGGTTTTGTCTAAGAACTAAAAGAAGCTAGGTTTAGTTACCATGCCATGATTTCCGGCTTTTTAGTGCATTATTACTGCAGTTTTAGATTGGCTGGATAGAGCATTTTGTGGGAGGAGACTTTGGTCACGTTTATTTCTGGTAATAAGTGTCCAGGAGTCCTTGAGATATTGGGAAAGGGCATATTAGAACAGAGACAAATTTCCATCTCTGGTGGGAGAATTCGGACAGCCACTTCTGGTCACCTTCCCTGTATTGCCCCAGAGCAAGGTCCTGCTCTAGCACTGTGTTGATGACAGATGACAGGTGACTGTCTTCACCTCTAGAAACTGCATGTCAAAGACCAGGATGAGTAAATGAACACAGAGGGGGGAGGCTGCTGAGCTGGTCTTAGACAGAGCCTGCTCCCAGTACACCATGACCCTGCCTGCTGGTGGCCATCTGGAGACAGCAGGATGGTGCAGTGGATTGGATCTGCTTATAGAGAACCGATGCTCTGCAGACCAGGAGGAAGAGGTGGCGGCAATGCGGGGAGATACAGTCCAGATCCAGTTTGCTTTGGTTTGCAGGCCTGCCACCCACATCTCTTTTCTGCTGTTTAAGCAGGTATTTTCATTTATGAAAAGGCGTCATCAGGTCTCTTTTAAGCATACAGCACTCATGGCAGGGTTAGAGTTTTGCTGAAACGTAAAACCTTCCTCTAATTGCTGCCAGATGTTCCAGAATGTGGCTAGTGTTGTGCTCCCAGCATTCTCAGTGACACAGAGCCTGGCCCCTCAGTGTCTGAAGGAAACGCCTCCCTCCTCAGCTTGCTTCCAGCCAAGTCCCAGCTCCTGGACTGGTATCACCACACAACTTTTCTCATTCAAATGAACTTTCCCTGTACCCTCTCTGTAAATTTTAAATTCTCTGCTACCAAGTTTCACACTCATTTATGCACTGATTTGTTCATGAGGCAAATATTTAAAAAAAAATCGGTCACTCAAAATTGTACTAGCATGTGGGGTCTGCCAGGTGCTTTGGTCATTGAACTATTCAAAGAATGGAGAGCATAAGCTTGTTGTTTCATATAAGTGTGTGCGTGTGTGTGTGTGTGTGTGTGTATGTGAGAGAGAGAGAGAAACACAATAATTATAAGTTATTTTGTAGAAGAGAAAATCTGTGAAATTTTCACATTAAAACAACATTATAAAAAATTCCAAAACCAAAAGTGAGATCTTGATCAGTTTCATTACTATAATAGCAGGATATTCTGACAATAGGAATAGTCTGAACATTCTCTAATGAAAGTTTATAAATTTCTCTGGGAACCAAAAACAACATTTTTTTTTCTTTTTGGGTCACACCCGGCGATGCACAGGGCACAGGGATTACTCCTGGCTTTGTACCCAGGAATTACTCCTGGTGGTGCTCAGGGGACCATATGGAATGCTGGGAATCAAACTCAGGTCGACCATGTGAAGACAAATGCCCTATCCGCTGTGCTGTCGCTCCAGCCCCCCAAAACAACATTAAAAAAAACATGGCATTTTTTCTATTGAGCAGCTTTTTTGTTTTGGTGGTGGTAGTGGGGCCACACCTCAGGGCTTACTCCTGGCTCTGGGCTCAGAGACCATTCCTGCTGGGCACAAGGGACCATATGGGGTGCTGGAGACTGAACTTGTGTGAGCCACTTGCTAGTCACTCACTCTCTTTCCCTCTCTCCAGTCCCCAATGAACAGAATTTTTATTGCACCAGACCAATCTCAGTGATGTATAATTACAGCATGGCTACATCTTTGGTGTTTTTTTTTCCTGACCTTTCCAAATTTTCTACGATGAACATGTATTCTATAACCAGAAAAAGTCATTATATGTTTTATGCGTGATGAGAGTAGACTATAGACTGAACATGATTGCCACTCAATGTCTCTTTTGCAAACCACAGCACTCAAAAGGAGAGAGATAACAAAAGGGAATGCTCAGCCACAGAGGTAGGGTGGAATGGGGGGGATGGGGGGTTGTGGGATACTGGGATCAGTGGTGGTGGAGAATGGACACTGGTGAGGGATTGGTATTTGATCATTGTATAACTGAAACCCAAGCATAAAAATTTGTAAGTCTACAACTGTACCTCATGGTGTTTCACTAATAAAAATTTTAAAAAAAGACATTATACGTTTTAATTTTTTAAAAAGGGAAACCAATCCTTCCGTAAAACAAGGAAAAAAGCATCCATATAAACTGCATAATGGATGCAGGGTTTCATTTTGTTGGCAATAAAGAGTTAACTTTTATATTAGGTGAATGTCATCTCAAGAAAAACAAAAAGAAACCAAACTGCAGTAAAAGCACCCACTCCTCCCATTTTTTCAAAAGCACAATACCTTCTCCATGTAAGAGTGATGGGTCTAAGAGCTCCATCATGTATTCGATTTCCGTGTCCAGTTCAAGCATGTCACACTGAGCTATGACATAGGTCAAGACTGGTAAAAAGTCATCAGCTCCATACATCCTTCCTGGGATTAGGAAGAAAGGAAAAGATGAGCATATTTTCAACCTCATTTTTCTTTCCTCATTTACTTGCTATTTTTAGTAGAGAACGAGGAGCCATTCCTGGGAATATGCTATTAACCAAACTGGTGGGCGTTTCAGGAATCCTGTGTAGCTTGTGACCCACCCTGCTGCTTAAGCCTCAGACCAGCCCTAACTCACAATTTCAGAATGATCGTCTGTGAATCAATAAACACACAAGTGCTCCTTGCTTTCATTATTCACATCAAGTTGTGCAATAGAACAGAGCACTCTGAAATACTTTCACTTTCAACCAGTACAAAAAATGTAGTCTTCACTTAGATTAATTCTTAGTGTTTTTTTTTTCTGTACAGAGTAATTATTAAGACCAAACTCAAATGAGAAACAAACTGCTCTGTATTCAATGTGGCCAGGCAATTTAAATTTGCTAACTGGGCACATGTATATGTATGTGTATACATATATATTTCTCGACTGGGATTGATATTGTCATCCGGCCCTTCCTCCACCCACCCACCGGAACATTTGACATTGTCTGGAGATACTTTTCAACAACACAACTACCAGGTGGGGGTGCAGCTGGCATGGGGGATGCAAGTAAACTTCCTCCAGGAAGCAGGGCAGCCCCCGCAACAAAGAATGACCGGTCGAAATGCCATTAGTGCTAAGGCGGAGAAACTGCTTCAGAAGAACACCACTGTGTGCAGAAATGACTTTAAAAATGACCTTATAAACTACAGAAAATACATTTCTTATAAGCAGAATAAGTGAAACTTTATAGGCACTATTCATATGCTGTCATTACCAGACCTGGGACTTTTGTTTTACGGTCTCCTCTCAGCAATTTGTGAGATACACACACATTCCTATCTATTCAAGCAGTGGCTCATGGAGTCTGTGCTTTTTTTCTGTGGTGCTCCTCCAGAAAACAATTTCACTTGGATGAAAAGTAGGTCATTGTCTACATAACTACAACAGACTCCCTGGAACCTCAAACAATGCAGAACTCAATCACTATTCATGAATCACAACCGCTCCTGCATCCATAAGTGCAGCTGGGGAGAAATCTGAGGGTGTACTCTTCAACCTTGCTGAATTCCAGTTACATTTCCTCAGTTTACACAGAACACACAGCCAAGGAAATGGTATCATAAAACCTTCATTATTATTGAATGCTCTAAATTCTTCTACATGCTATGATGATTGACACAAACCCTCCTTGGTTAAAATGTACTGATGAGAATTGTTTTATCTCCGTTTTACCCTTGTGGCGGCTTTTGTATTGTCTCATCGAATCTCCAACTTAGGAAGGATCAGGTCATTTTCAACATATCCAAAGAGAGGATGCAAAAACTATGTTTTAAGGCTGGCCAACAAAGCCAGAGTACCATAATTAACTAATGAATTAACTGATTTTGAGGCCTTAGATTTAAAGTAAGAGCCTAAACTGAATCTGGGTCCAGTGCCCTGAACTAAATCTTTATCAAAGTACCACTGTACAAAAACGTTGTTGCCTTCTTTGGTGTTAGTCCCCAGCTAAATGTCAGTTTGCCAGATATCAGAGTAGCAGGACTTGTGTGAGCCACTTGGTGAAATGGAGAGAGTGAGAGGAGCGATTAGGAATGGGGAGTCTGACACCACTGGTGGGGAGCGGGAAGAGGCTCGCCTGGGAGCTGCTTACCTGAGTTGCTTTCCATGACAGTGTAGATGAGCTTGCACACCCTGAGCAGCAGCATGACTTTCTTCTCTGGTGAATACATTTTCTGCATGGTCATGAACTTGACTTTGATTTTCTCTACATCCACAAAGTCGGGGGTTGGGGCGAAGACCCCCAGCTCCTGTGGGTTCCTTTGCCGCACGAGCTGCAGGTTCTCCTTGAGCTGTTTCCACGAGCCGTCAGCCACGTGAAAGTCCTTCAGCATGGCCTCGACGTGGCCCTTCAGGGGCTTCAGGATGCATTTGTGCATGGCTTTCTCCAATACCACATCTGCCGAAGAAAACGCAGCTAGTGACCACTGTCTGGAGAAAGATGCAAAGCCACAACTGCTTTCTTGGTGTGAACATTCGCAACTCCACACGTGCCAGCAAGTTAGAACTTCACAGCCGCCAGCCGCAAAGCCACTCAGCCCCATCCCCTCATTCCCATAAGGCAGAGAGTGAATCTTCCCTAATCAAGCAAGATTCATATTCATTTACAGACATTAAATACAATCACATATATCTGATTTAACTCCTCTCACACCCTATTCACTCCTCCATAAGCACATTCTAAATATTCAAAAACTTTTTTTTTTAACCTAGGCCTTCAGCTGATCATTCAGTTGATAGGTAAGCAAATATTATTTTAAAGGCAGAGTTTTCTAATAGCAGAGGTTAAACGAGTTCCCCGAAAATATTTTCTGAGGAAGAAATTCAGCTCAATACACGTACTCTCTTAGATTGGATTATGGACCTCCGTCCCCCCAATTATTTTACTTACTAGAGAAGACATCCCTGGGATATTAACTAATATTACATAAAGTTTGCGAATTGGGTAATAGGGTTAACAATGAATCTGTGTTAATTTTGCTGTAGTTTTGTAACAGAATGTTCCTGTTTTTTGGAAACACACCAAAGGCTTTAGTGGATAAAGGGACACAAAGTCAGCAATTAACACTAAAATGTTTCAAAGAAGAAGCCAGTGTCTTAATAGGTGGAGAACAAGCAAATGTGGCAAAGCGCACACATTCAAAGAATCTAGGTGAAGGGTATACATGAGGTTTTTTTAAATGATTTTTGCAACCTGTCTGTAAGTCTGGAATGATTTCAAAATAAGACATTAAGCTTTTTTGAAGTGTGTTTCTGTTCAGGGTTAGGAAACACCTTTTGGCGTGGGACGCATTTCCCCCTCTTCTTGGAACAGTTGCACCATGAAACAGCCTTTGCATTGTTGCCTGATACTAAAATGATCAGTGTCATAAATCTGGGGGTCCAGATCAAAGATGATTTATACAACAGGTTTTATTTCTCCAATGTGGGATTTTCAATTTCAAGTGTCTGCACATTTTCATGAAAGTTTTCTGGAAACACCTAACGTATGACACTGCATTATAACACCCTTTAGAAATCTATGGATACCATTATATATTAGACTGAATTGTCTGAGAAAAAAACTAAGGCAGATGCATAAGTACTAAAAACAAATTTATCTTCCTCCAAACTTAAAACTGATTTTTAAAGTTAATGCTAATCCCATAATTACCAGATTCCATAGTCCAACCATTTTTCCTCTATTCTTCCACCTCCATATCATATCCTGGAGATCTCTTGTTTCAATATAGAGTTCTATATTATTATAGAATAAGAGGTTGAAGCATAAGAGGCTATAAAGTGAGAAGAAAAGCAGAACGACAGTTTTTACTTCATAGCTGACAGTAGAACAAATTACTTCACTTGCATTAATGGTGTGATTTTATGGTATCTTTGATTTTACCTTATATGGTCTTAACAAAGAACAATAGCAATAAAAACTGAGTATTCATTTGAGGTAAATACTATTCACCTTAGCACTTTATATAGTTATCTCATCTAACCGTTATAACAGATCTATTATATTTGTATACTATTGCTACTAAGTTCATATTACAGATGAGAAAACTGGCTTGGCAATGTCTAATGTACGGCTTTAGGTTGCACAGTTATTTTATTTTTTTGCTAGCTTTATGGGGGCGACATCTGGTGGTGTTCATGGGACAAGAAGGCTATATTCAATGGTTCTCAGGGGCCCACTGCATACTGGGAATCAAACTTAGGACCTTGCACATGCAGGGCTGCGACCTATCTTGACATATCCTCAACTCATATGCAAACACTCACAGAATTATTTAAAAAAGCATAAAAAATCTCTTAATTTTAAAATTCTAAAGCTTTAAAAACACTGGCCATTTTATTCATCTACCCAAAGTTTCTGAAAATGCCATTAATGATTATCAGTTAAAATGAGGTCATCACCACGGGCAAAAGTCATGTCAATCATTAATTAGGAGTGTAACGTGAATGTTCTTTCTAGCGTTATTCATCACCATCCCCATAGAGGAAACAACCCAAAGGCCCACTCAAGGGAATGGGTACAATGGCTAAATTCATATATTGAACACTACAATGGAAGTCATCAAAGGCAGCTTCATCGAAAAGGAGCACATTCATTGTACCTTCCGAGGCAACATGGATGAAGTTCATAGATATAATACTGTGTGAAAGAAGCCAGAATAAAAGAGTATGCTCTTTAACATTTTGTTTGTATAAAGTTCTGCAGCAAGCAAAAAATCTATGATGGCAGAAGTCAGGACGGTGGGTACCATGGGTTGTGGGGGCTGACTGAGCCTCTTCAGAGAAGGGACATGCTCTCTGTCTAGATCTGATGAAGGCCGCAGATGTGCGGGTATTTGAACATCTGTCAAGCTGAGCACTTAAGAAGTGTTACTTTACAGATATAAGTGAAATGTCGATCGACACGTATAAATCAACCAAGTAGAAAGCAAGTGGACATGGCCACATCCAGAGGAGCTCAGGGGACCACACAAGCACCTGAACCCCTGCACTGTCTCTCTGGCCTTCAGTCAGACAAATCAGCTCCAAAATGTCATACTGTTGCCTGAGGATGAAGCAGGAAGCTCACTGCTAACAAGCTGAGTGGATCCTATCTTTGCTGCACACATGCAACTCCTTCTTGCTACCAGGAAGGGACATGGACATGGGCCTTACTAACCCCACCTTTAGTCAGAGGGCTGGAACCTAGGTCCAATCATCAACTGCCTATTCTCTTCAAACCCAGAAGACCTTTCTCTTCTATGGAGGAGATTTATTTTCACAGATTTTTTTTTTAAGGTTAAGTTTAAAAATGAGCAGAGACACATAAACGAATTTTGGAACCCATTGGCTTTTGGCAGAAATGCGTCTGGACTTTGCATTAGATTACCAATGCCGAGCCATACCAGGTGGGAAAAGGTGTCGTCCCTCCGCCTATTCCCCCAGGCAGCTTGGTGGCTGCCGTCTTCCAGAGGCCATTGGGCAGTCAAGTATGCGCCAGCAGTGACAAGACACATGGGGCCTCATAAGACGGGGGTGGTGCTGGCCCTTGACCCCCCCTCCCCCGTCCCAATGAGACCCCGAGTTGCTGCTCATGAACAGCCCCTCTGGCTACTGATTAAGCTGCTTAACAGCCATGATCCCAGAGACACACAAATGAATCTCGGAACCCAGTGGCTTTTAGCAGAAATCCCTCCAGATTTAATTATTAAAAGTTCAGAATTCCAAAACTGCGTGACCACTGTGGCCGCACAATATCATATGCTATTCGTAATGAGCAATAGAAAATAAATAGTCTAATATTGCCTTCGTGGCAGGTCTGAGTGTTGGGGGAAAATCCCAAATAATAATGGTGGGTCTGGTTTTGAAGTATTGAATGTAATCAAAGTAGAGAAAGAATAAATGTGTAAATTATCTGCCACACAGGTCGGGGGAGGGTGTGGGAGGGGGGTATACTGGGATTTTTGGTGGTGAAAAATGTGCACTGGTGAAGGGATGGGTGTTACATCATTGTATGACTGAGACTTAAACCCGAAAGCTTTGTAACTGTTCTCACAGTGATTCGATAAATTTATATATATATAAAGAATCTAATATTACATTAAATAAGATCAGCTTGAGAAATAAAAAATAATATAAATGAGACTCATTCCCCAGCATTAGTTTCCAAGGTTTGACCTTTTAGATTCTCCTCACCCCAACCTTTCATAATTAAAAAGAAAAGAAAAAAAAAACACAAAGTAAAATTCAAATGACAGGAAAAACATGGTACAAGTGGCTTTTTTCCAATAGGAAAAATATTTCTGCTCATGAAGCAATGGGGAATAATGATTTGAGAAATCTAAGTATCAGAGCATCTTCCAAAATATTGTCTAAGGAAAAAAAATGATCAGTCACTTTTCTTAATTACTACTCTCTGTTGTATTCTGTTATCACTGGTTGCTTTAAATTCAAGTAAGCCACATTTTAAAACTGGAACAAAGACATGTTCTAGAAATTTCACATGCACTGATTTTTCAAATCCTCAAACAGATGTCATGGGTGGAGGACTACCGTTTCTTCATTTCACAACCAAGGAAACTGCAACTCAGAGAGATCAATGCAACACAGCCAATAAAAGTGGAGTAGGGCAAGGGCGGGGTGGGGGGGAGAGGGGGGTGGGGCACACATAGGATTTGAACCTCCCCAGAATTATTCCTGAACTCTTTGATTATATTTATTGTATTTTGTTTGCTTTGTGGCCGCTTCTGGCAGCGCTCAGGGCTTACTCCTGTCTCTGAGCTCAGGGATCACTGCTGTAGAGTCTGGGGTGGTGGGGGTTCCAGGGATCAATCCAGGATTAACCACCTGCAGGGTAATCATTTTACCTGCTGTAATAGCTCTCTGGCCTGTTTATCATATTTTTCACTAACATTTATCAGGCTTCTATAAATCCAAGTGCTATTTGAAGTAGAGCTGTATATATTATCTCACTATATGATAATCCTTACTTTGGCCCAATAGGATGTGATACCACTGTCATTTTGCAGATGGTAAAGTCATTATCAATCGTATAGCTTTATAATGCTGGTGGAGATAGGATGCACACTCAGTTGTTTCAGTGCTACATAAGTCAAAGACTAAATGGTATGATGTGCCTTCTTTGTATAAGGAGAGAAAAAGGAGCTGATAGTCTGTTTCTATGTGTGCTAGCATCATTTCCTCTGACTGTGAAACTGGATTAAGGATCAGAATTGACATGGCGTGCTGCTCAGTGTGTTCTAAGCACCCTCATATGCCTCAGACCTACTATTTAAATAATTCATCTTCTGAGAAAGAGAACAAAAGGGAATGCCCTGCCACAGAGGCAGGGTGGGGTGGGGAGATGAGGGGTGGAAGGGATACTGGGACCCGTGGTGGTGGAAAATGGGCACTGGTGGA